TTTGGGGCAAATAATTTGCTCAATTGTTCTTGTCATATGCAGCCCCTGAACCAAAAGCCATGAAATGAACCTATTGTATGTTGTTCTCAAAATACCCACAGATCTTTTTCTGTGCACATGTACCAGGTGGAAAACCTGATATCCTGATTTTGCTATTTTGATGTGTGCCAGAAGTCCTCTAATTTCTCCAACAGCACTAGTGCATTATGTAAGAGGCTTGAATATGATCCAGGATGTAGACAACAGCATAACAGGCATGATAGAAAGCCCAACAAATTGGTGAACAAAGGATCAGATTCATTATTGATTTATTAATTTTCAGCTTGCATAATTACAATGATTTTTCCCTAGCCTCTGCAAGTGTAAACTAACAAATAAAATGTCAACTTATCCTATTCAAAATCCATAAAGTCATAGGAATGAAAAAACTTATTTTCAAAATTACTTATGCTGAGCTTTCACAGGCATTTAGGAGAATAAAGAACAGAGATAAATTTGCCAACATTTTCAAAAGTTCCTAGTCCAACTGTTACCTCTGAAAATGTCATTAAGCTCACAAACGACTTAGATATGTACAAGAACACAGCGATCCTGAAATACACATTATAGTGAATAATTACCAGAGAGGCTAAAAGCAAAGTAAAAAGATAGATTATCAGTAAGAAGATGACAATAAGGTAGAAAGTAATTCAGGAGGCACCACAGGTGGAAAGGCAACCAACTGTTTAACACCCGCTCTTGGAAAATCTGTTTCGAATTCTGCATCTGGAAGCTTATGTGTATGGTAACATGATGCCACCTGGAATTCAGTGTAGCAAGATATAGTTCCAGCCTAAACAAATATACACATCCATAAGTTATCAAAACAAGCATCCCAAATTAACAAGGAAGTAAAAAAAAAAAAAAGCCCATTAACATTAAATGAGCAATAAATAAAAAAATAAAACACTCTCAAGCTTCTCAACTAACAAGACTCAGACTCTTTCATCACCTGTTTCCTCACTCTACCCCCTGCCTTTTCAAGGTAAGGGCCTAAGTCTGTAGCAGCCAAAGAGATTAGGCACTTCAGCGTGTAATTTAAAGTTGTGCAGCTTCATTTTACACTTACCGGACTGATGCAATGACCAGTTGCTGAGTTGTCATGGATTAACAAAGAAAAATCACCTACTGTGGAGACCTCTGGAAAGGACTTTGTCTCATTAGTCACCAGGTGTATGAGACTGGGATGACCCTGCTTCCCCCAAACATTGTTTAGGCACAGAGAAAGGAGTCTGTAAACCCATACCGATGCAGGCTCTGTTGTTGCCGCTTCCTTTAAGCTGTGCTGGAGCACAATGGAGTAAGAACCTCTGCAACCTTCTTAAGTAGGTCATGATCAGGACTTTAAATATCAAGATGAGCAATAAACCCTTCATACTGACTATGGGCCACCACTTAGTGAGATGCACAGGTTGTGGTATAGCGTCCCTTGCAGGAGGAAGCAGGCAGACCCTGGAGTGCAGCCTGTTCATGAACAACTTCTTTTAAGATCATCCATTTAATGCTAGAGAAGAACTCTGAGGTAACATGGAATCGTTGCTCTTTTTATAGTTGAAATCTCTCCCTGGAAATGGCTGTTTGAACATATTGGTACTGTGATAGTGCCCAAACAGGGATATTGTTTTTCTTCAGCAGCCAGTGAACATGCTATGTAAAATGCAATGAGACAGGGTACAAGACTGATTAATCTCAAGAAATTCTGTATTTTGGCTTTCACTCCTATGATCTTAGCTATAACATTTTCTGTACTGTTGCTCTCCTGTTAGCCTCATTAAGTAATCAAGGAGCTTTAGATGGTAATGCAATATATAGACTATGTAGATATATGCATGCATGACAGGATTTATGTAAGTTTGGTATAATCCTGTCCTCTGAATATGAAAAAGTAGTGGCAGAAAACACAGTGATGCAGAGAGACTTTTTTCAGTGTAAATAATGTCTTAAGGTCCAAATCCATAATTTTATTTTTTTTTTAAATCATTCTAGTAACATGAGGTATAGCAAGTCCAGGAGAGACAGACTGGTGGAGGTCGTTTTTCCATTAGAGATGGTTGAGCAACACTGGACTGTTTCAGGGCATGATCAGTTCTGTCATTATTCTGAACAATAGGTAGAACTGCTTGCTGTAGAAATAAAAATAGGAGTATAAAACTTCCTGCAGTGTTCAGAAAGGCAGAATGACATGTTTGGTTGCAAAAATAAAACCAAGCCTTTATTTTATAGTTATAAGAATTGAGTTCTAATAAGCAACAGACCTAATTTCACTTAGTTTTATTATTCTTTGACCAAAGATTGGTCTAATTTTCATTGCAATATGGATTTTTTGTGCCTTCTCACCCCTTGTGACACTGAGAAACCATCCAGGTGTTGGAATGCAAGGGTTAAACCAAGACAGGTATGTCACAGTGCAAGACATAGAGGCTTCCCCCTGACTGGGATATAGGAGATCCCTTATAGGTATGAAGGCTGAAGCTGTTTCCTTTGCATAGGTGAAAAGCAGTGTGAACTACTTCCCCCATTGGGATGAATTGTCAGGGACAGTGCATATTGTATCACTGTCCCATTGGTGAGGCATCTGTCCCCTTGATGGGTCCTGTGGGTATGAGGATGTGGATGAACGGAAGGTGAAGCCTCGATGTGCCATGCTGTAGCTGTCTTCAGCTGAGGAGAAGATGTTAAAGAGTATGAGGAAGAAGGAGAGAGACATGACAGCCAGGACCACCATGATTTTATATAATGATCTGATCAAATGTGTGTGCCAAAATATGCCTGTTTTAATGATTTGGTGCTGTTAGCATGTTTCTGTTTGATGAGTGGTATGAACTTAAAACATTATCTGTTTCTTAGCTTTTCTTTTTCACCCAAATGTTATTCCTCTTTAACATAAACTCTTTTCTTTTTGAAATATCATGATTTGGTGCTGTGCAGTTCTGCTACACAGTACATCTGGAAAGCTCTTCCATTTCTAAGTAAGTAAGACAGGAGAACAGTTATAAAGTTTTCACTGGTTATTCTCAAATTACTGCTTGGTACAATAGACATCTGGGCCATTAGTCAATATATTAGAAATGGGTGACTTAAAGTCTCAAACTTTCAATTTTCTATGGAGAGAGGAAAAGGGCTCTGGTCTGGCGTATAATTAGTCGTGTCCGGCACATCTCCTTGGGCAGGGAGATAAGCTGTAGCCTGTGCCAGCTGGGGCATTGCCAGAAATATGAACTAGCACAGCACGCTCCAGCAGCATCTTGTTCTGCCCCAGCATAACCCAGCATATTCCCAAAAGGGCAGAGGAGGTGAGTAAGCAATGTGGCTGAAGTACAGCAAGTGCGTGCCACCCAGGCATACTCCTGGAAAAGTGTCCTCTCCAGCCTGCTTCTGAAATCTGTTATTAAAGAGCTTTCTACTGAAAGCTAGGAGGTCATGCTTGGGTCATGCTTTGAGGGTATTATGTAAAGGGATTCTCATCTTGTCTTAGGAAAAGAAATCTATATGACTTAAACTGAAACTCTGCTTGGAGAAGAAATTCTTCCTCTCTCTTTTCTCTTCCTCTTCTTCTCTTTCAGTCTGGTGTCCTTTCGTCTCTTGCACAACTACATACAACTAAACACAATCGTAGGCTGATTAAAAAAATATGTCTATGTGAGCAAGCAATGATGGGGACTAGAAAACAAGGTATTCACAGCTCTAATTCAAGTTAAAATACTTTGAGATATTGAAGGCAAAAAAAGTATTGAAAAAGTCATAGGTGTGCTCTACCAAGGTGCAGTGGGTTACCAATGCTTTGCATGACAAGGAATCTAAGGAGGAAGAATGAAAAAGGAAATAAGAAAATAAAGGAAGGTGGGAAAGAGAGGCAAAACTAGAGAATGATACTAACAGGATAACAATTTTCATATGAAGCCAGATCAAAGATCTTTTATCTTATTGCTAGGTATCTGACTATGGTTAATAGTGAATGTTAGAATTGAACACAAAGATGCATACTGATATCTTTCCTAGACAATTTCCCAGCTCAAAAAAATGATCAGTGGAGAGGTTTTTTTGAACTATGTGTTTTGCCTTTGTTGTCCCCAACTGATTTTTCTTCCATGACTTTGTTCAATCACTTTTTACACTCGATGGCCTGGTTTTCGTTTGGATACTACTGTGAGAAAATAAGAATCTGTATCTTTCCAAAAGAACAATAAAACTTGTAGGTGGTATGAGATGTCATCGTATCCCATTTTTGTTTTACTGTGGAAAGTCCATCCAGGGATCTCATCCACTGAGGGAGCAGAAAAGATGCTAATTGCTGTCCAGTTCTTAAAGGCAGAACTGCTGCACTTGTGCTTCTGGAGGATATTGTGTAGATGAGATGTTGTTATTGTGGTGACCTCATCACTGCTATTCTGTAATCTATCCAACACTTTCATAGGAATATTTCTCAGATCTAACACCAGAAATATTTTGTAATTTCATTCCTCATGTTTTCAACCAATTATGTTTAGTTGTTATGACTACAGTAAGTATTTATGAGTTTCAAAGGCCTAACAAATCATTAGATATTATGGATTTTAAAAGTAGCTTTTCATCATTCCAGTATTTTTCTTCTTCAGCATAAATGTTCCATTTCCTGTTTTCTGATTGTCCTCAACTCATCACATCTATATATATCCAGCTCAGGCAGTCCCTGGGCTCAAGGCTGGAGGACACGCATCTGCATGAGGGAGGGGGGGG